TCTTCAAATCGCTCCCCCCCTTCCTGTCCAGCGCAAAGAGAGGGGATTGGGGGTCCGAAAATGTCACCCCACTTTTGGAGGGCGGAGGGGGGTGTCTGCGAGCACCTTTTCAATTGCCGGGGGGGTCCAGTGGCGCGCTTTCCTTATTACTCGTCGTATCGTTACCATGTTTTTCCTATTCTGGTTGTCATTGCCATGTTACGTAATGGTATGCCTCTGGTCTTTCTCTGATTGTGATGTTTTTTTTATGGTGTCTTTTCGTATCATCATCATCATGCGTATACCAATTACTGCTATCATTACTCACATTCATGTAACATGTTTAGTAACGCTACTACTACTGCCACTACTGGTGTCTTTATTCTTATTTCTAGTGCAATTATTTGTAGTATTATTATTTTTACTACAATTATTCCTGCTACTCTTACTCTTATCACCAGCATTGTTTGTATTATTATTCGTATGCTGGTGAGGATGATTGTGATGATTGTGACGGTGATGGAGACGACGATGATGATACCGATGGTGATCAAGATGATGATGATGATGGTTATTGCTATTCTTATTTCTTATCCTGTTAGTATTCTTCTTCTTCTTGCTATTATCATCATTACATTTATGATGCAGATGGTGATGATGATGCTGATGGTTGTGATGATGATGCTGCTGAGGATGGTGCTTATTCTTATTAGTATTTTCATTATTATTAGTAGTAGTAGTAGTATTGTTATTCTTGTCCTTATTTTTAATATTATGAGGGTGCGGGCGCGGAGTGGGTCGCGGGTGGGTCGCGGGCGAGTCGCGGGAAGGTCGCGGGGTGGGTCGCGGGTGGGTCTCCGTTGGGTCGCGTGAGGGTCGCTGGTGGGTCGCGGTTGGGTCGCGCGCGGGTCGCCAGTGGGTGGCGGCTGGGTCGCGGGAGGGTCGCATGGTGGGTCGCGGGTGGATCGCATGGTGGGTTGCGGGTGGGTCGCGGGCCTGTCGCGGGCACGTCGCGGGGTGGGTCGCGGGTGGGGTCGCAGGTGGGTCGCGGGTGGGTCACGGGTGGGTCGCGGGTGTGTCGCGGGTGGGTCGCGGGCTGGTTCGCGGGCGGGACCAAGATAACAAACAACAGCAACAACCGACAACAACAATAACAATCCGCACTGCGGAAGCCATTCAGCCACGCACCCAGGGACAGTGAATGACCGTTCGGACCCCTCATTATGATGATGATGGTGCTGATGATGATGGTGCTGCTGCTGCTGCTGCTGATGATTATGCTGATGATGGTGATGATGATGGTGATGATGTTGATGATGATGCTGATGCTGATGATGGTGATGGTGATGATGGCTACGATGCTGATGATGACGATGCTGATGCTGATGCTGATGCTCACTGATGCTGATGATGATGATGATGATGATGAGGAAGAGGAGGAGGAGGTGGAGGAGGAAGAGAAAGAGGGGGGAAGGAGGAACAGGAGGGGGAGGAGTGGGAGGGGGAGAAGGAGGATGATGAGGAGGAGGAGGAGCAGCAGGAGGAGGATGATGATGATGATGATGATGATGATGAGGAGGAGGAGGATGCAGGGGGGATGAGGATGCATGGAGGAGGATGAGGAGCAAGAGGCGGAGGTGAAGGAGGAGGAGGAGTAGGAGCAGGAAGGGAGGAACAGGGAGGAGGACGTGGGCAGGGGTGATGGATGGGGAAGGAGGAGGAAGAGTGCGATAGAACTAATGAGACGAATGCTCATGATAGTTATGACTATATAGTACTTGTGCGAAGAAGGAGGAGCAGGCCAAGCATTCTCTTGTCCTTTGCCGCCGGCCCTCCAGGCTGAGCCATCGTGCGCTATGTCAGGGCAGTTTGGGTCCCTTTTGGGCCGTAGTGGGGTCTCTTTGAGGTTTCGTGGGTCCCCTTGTGGCACCTTTGGGACATATTCGGCAACCTTGGGGCTATCTTGGGGCCTCTGGTGCCCATATCGCGGTCATCTCTTGATTGGTCATCCTGGGCGATCTTGGCGATATCTTGGGGCCTTTTGGGGCCGCCCTAGGGCCGTCTGGAGCAATCTCGGGGGCGCCAGGGGCTGTTTAGAAGTAATCCTTGGGACATCCTGAGAACATGATGCATGGGACAGGCAGAAGACACAGCGCAATCCCTTTTTTTGCTCTCGGGGGAGTCTCGGGGCGTTCCTGTGCCATCTTGGACGCATATTCGGGCCATCTTCGGCCGTCGTAGGCTCCCGAGGCCAGCTTCGGGCGCCGTGCCGACGGGAATCCTGGGGCAAAGTGCGGCGGCCAGAAGGCCCCTCTCAGGGTTTTGTTTTCTTGTCGTTGTTGTTGTTGTTGTTGTTGTTGTTGCTGCTGCTGCTGCTGTCGTTGTTGCTGTTGCTACTGCTGCTGTTGCTGTAGTTGCTGCTGCTGCTGCTGCTGTTGTTGTTGTTGTTGTGGTTGTTGTTGTTGTTGTTGTTGTTGTTGTTGTTGTTGTTGTTGTTGTTGTTGTTGAACATTATTCCTTCTAAAGAATTATTATTGTTGGGACCCCTGGTGCGCGACCTCTGCGCCGCGCCTAGGCCGCAGCTACATTTTCATCATTTTTTCGCGAAAGCTTCAGAAAAGTGGATGAGCTCCGGATCCGGTTTTTTGTTGACGCTCGTTTTCCCTTGCAAAAAACACTAGAAAATGAAAATTCTTGTTCTTACTTGATCAAATTGCAAGAATCCCTTGCAAAAAATAAGGTAAAGTGGACATTCGTGCGCGCAAGACGAAATCCTTCCAAAACCTTAGGTTTCGTAACGATTTTAACATAAAAACATCAAAAACCCAATGGTTTTTTAAAGAAAAAATTGTCAAAATGTCCTTCCGCGCGCGCTGTCCGAATCCCACAAAACCAATGGTTTTTCAACATTTACGTTACATGAGCTCGCGCGAGCTACTTTTTCTTGTTCTAACATAATCAAATTTCAATAATCCCTTGCAAAAAATAAGGTAAAGTGGACATTCGCGCGCGCAAGACGAAATCCTTCCAGAACCTTAGGTTTCGTAACGATTTCAACATAAAAACATCAAAAACCCAATGGTTTTTCAAAAAAAAATGTCCAAATTTCATCCCGCGCGCGCTGTCCGACTCCCACAAAATCAATGGTTTTTCAACATTTGTGTTACATGAGCTCGCGCGAGCTACTTTTTCTTGTTCTAACATAATCAAATTTCAATAATCCCTTGCAAAAAAAATGTAAAGTGGACATTCGCGCGCGCAAGACCAACAAAAAACACGACGATCTCAGGAACTTGCCCCAAAAATGTGACCAACTCCGCTCTCTCTGTCTCTCTCTCTGTCTGCTCTCTGTCTCTCTCTCTGTCTGTCTGTGTCATGTATTGTATGTCACAATTGCAGGATGCTGGGCACACGCGCGCCCCGAATAAGTGACCAAGTTCTGTGGGTGTGTACCCCACGCCAGTGTAGTAGCCACGGTCGTCCGCACGCCACGAAGTGAAGTGTCCCAACGTCATAGGGCGGGAAGCTGGGTTTGGGTGGTCGCGAAGAGTCGTTTGGATATTTGGTAGAGCTTGAACTGCCCCCCCACGAAGTGGGGGTATTGTCTCGCGTCGCATGAAAACCCTGGCACTGGTGAGAACACTGAGCGTTCGGGTAAAATGATTGTTGTTGTTGTTGTTGTTGTTGTTGGTTGGCGCCGCAAGCCTCCCCTCTCCACCCAGCAGGCAGCAGAGAGGAGAGAGTGAGGAGCTGAGAAGCAGAAGTGCAGTACAGTGGTCCTGCGTCCGCGTGGACCTTGGGATTCATTTAAGCGTTTGTGCTCATTTGCGCTGTTGCCGTCTTCGGACCTGCAGGCCTCGTCTTGGGGCCCTCTTACATGGCAATTCGGGGTCACGGGGTGGTCTCGATTCCATCTTAGGGTCATGGGGTGACACTCGTAGGGCCATCTTGAGGTCATCTTGGAATCACTGGCAGCGCGTCCGACGCGCTACCCGGCCAATGAAAATATGTGACCAAGCACTGCTTCCCCGCGTGCGCGCTGACAGGCGACGGTTTGCTTTGAAGAGCCGCTCCCAGGATGACCACGATGGATGTCACCACCCACCAAACCACCCGAACCCAACCCGAAGGCCCCAATTTGCCCTCCATTCCCAGTAGGGGGGGGTGTCGGGGAACATTGAAAAAACACGTGTGGAACCCGTACCCCCCCCAACCTGAAATGCGGGTCTTCGGGTTAGCTTTGGGTGGTCTGGTGGGTGTTCAGGATGACGACAACGAGAGATCAACCATGAAGATAGGCTGGATGTGCCCGTTGTTGTGGTGGACGGCCTCAGCGCCTCTGGATGGCCCACTGTTGAGGCGCGCCGTCGGTATTGTACACTTCTTGTTTTACCAAGGAGCTCGTGTCATAAGAAGCTCCAATTCCTCCTCCCGTCCCTCCCGCTCCTCCTCCTCCTCTTTCTCCTCCTCCTCCCCCTCCTCCTCCTCCTCCTCCTCCTCCTCCTCGCTCTCCTCCTCCAATTCCTCCTCCCGCTCCTCCTCCTACTATGTTTTTGTGTAGCTGTGCCTATCGATCGCTTCTGGTATTCGACAACGGTTGCCTGCAAATCCCTGTGACTCTGGAGAGGGCTCAGAAAACTCCCGAGGCTTCCTGAGCTTGCCGAGAAGGCCCGCCCTCTCTGCCTTCCCCCCCTGGGCTCGCCGCAGGCCCACGGTACTTGTAACCGCCCTCCCGTTGCAATTTCCTGGGACAGCCTCGCCAGCCTGGCTAGCCTGGGTCAGCTTGGGGCAGCCTGGGCAGCCCGTGCCAGCCTGACCAGCCTGGGCAAGCCTGGGCAGCCAGGGGCAGCCTGGCCCAGGCATGCCCAGGCTGCTGCGTCGATGGTAAGCCTCGCGCGTTATGTGTACCTGTATATGTAATGGGAATCCAGGGTGGGTGGGTATCAGCACCACGGCAGTGTGATATCGAGTTCAGTTGGTTAGATCGGTTCTGCAAGCCTGCAGCCGATTTCCCGGCGGAGGTCGGCGCTGGCTGCTTCAACTGCGTCATCTCGGCCCAGCTGCGCGCCGGCAGCACCGAGGCCGCCGCCTGGTGGCTGGAGCAGGCGGCCCAGAGAGGCCTCCTCCTCCGCCTCCTCCTCCCTCTTCCTCCTCCTCCTCCTCATCATTTTCTTCCTCCTCCTCCTCCTCCTCCCTCTTCCTGCCTCCTCCTCGTTCCTCGTTTTTTTCAGTTTTGCTTTGGTTTTGAGTTCTCATTTCTTAGAACTGCTCAGTATTGATCCCCCCTCCACTGCCCAGTGTGTTTTATTTTCACTTGAAACAACTATCCCTCCTGTGGTTCGCACCCTGTTTTTTTATCAGGGAAGTCTTGGGCTTCAGATTGTACCCCTGGCCCCCAGTTTACAATACAACGGCTCCCGCTTAATACTTGCTTACAACTTATTGAAGAATCGTGCTCCCGCTCGGGGCGTCCTTGCAATTTACAAGGGATCGCGTTTTTGGGTGGGACTTCATAGCGATGTATTCAGGCGCCGCGCCCTCGACAATCAGGAATCACGCTCTCGCCCAGGACTTCCTGACGATTTACTCAGGACGGTCCTTGCTAGTTGTTGAGGAGTCGAGCTCTCGCTCGGAACTTCTTGTAGTTTGCCTAGGAACGGCGTTCTCGCTCAGGACTTCCTCGCAGGTTGCCCAGGAGTCTCGATCTCGACTAGGATTTCCTTGTGATGTGCCATGGAATCCAGTGGTCCGCCCGCACGACCCGCCCGTCGGGGCATGCTTTCCCCGCCTCGCCCGCTGGGGCCCGCAGTCGCCACTCGCTGCCGGTTTCGTGCCCCGCCCGCCCGACCCGTCCGTCAGGGTCCGCCCGCAACGCCCGTACGACCCGCCGCGGCCGTTCAGGCCACCAGGGTGTGCTGCCAATGACGCTCGCGGAGGCAGCTGCCCGCCACACGCGCAGTCCTGCACTCCCCTGTGGGGGTCGTGTGTGGCGGTCCCCCCCCCTCCCCTCCACCCCTAATTAGGTGCACGCGCCTGAGCTGGGCACGGCTCCGCCCAGGCGCTTGACCGCTCGCTCTGCGCGCGTGTCGCAAACAAAAAGTTCAGGCCACCAGGATCTTCGCATAACGCCCTTGCCACTTCTCCTCCTCGTCCCTCTCGCTCTTCCCCCTTGGGCATGCTTCTGATTTTCCTGGGCACTTCATGACGGCGAGGCCCTTGGCCACTCCAGGTTAATGCCCAGTTAACTTTTGGCGGCCAGTTCTTGCATGATAGTTGCTGGTGCGGGTGAAGATTGGTGGTGGGGGCATCAGCTTCACGCTGTTGCTTTAGCAACGTGCGCACCGATTTCAAAGTCATCACCAATCACGTGAAAAGGAATGCGAAGTCTCCCTCAAGTTGTTTGCTTAAAAAACGTTCTGGTAGGTTCGTGTCGTGCCAGCACAGCAGCGACCCCGCCGCGGGCGCTCAAATTTGAACGCCTCCAGTAGCCCATAATCGTCCAATTTGGAACAATCTGGCAATCGAGAAGTTGTCGATTGTTCAGGTTGAACGATCCACGCGGCGTCAGAAACTATCGCCGGGGTCGTCACGATACGAAGCTGCCGTACGCGGTCGAATACGGGCACGTGATCCTTCGTTCTCATTGCCAGACACACACGGAACTCCCCCGCTCTGTTGGCCAAGTCGGCCTTTTATCTTTCCTGGCGGGCGCTGCCCGTGGTGCCGAGAGCAACCGTGTTCACTCTTGGGGAGGTGACTCTGCGACAAGGGCGGGGGTCCACTGCAGCACCCGTGATGCGAGCTGGGCTTGCTCCGACCCTCTCTCGCGCCCTCCCTTCCGCTTCCGCCCTTGTGAAGGAACGGCACTCATACCGACGCGTCTGCCCTCGATCGTCTCCTGGGGCGCTGGGGCCAGTCGCAGCACCTGTGGTGTATGCTGGGCTTGCTCTGGCCTTTATACCCGTTCGCTTCCGCCTCCCCCCCCGCCCCCCCCCTCAGAGCGTCTCCTGGGGCGCGGGGGCCAATGGCCAATCGCAGCACCTGTGATGCTGGGCTTGGCGTGGCCATCCTCCCCTTTGCCTCCGCTCCTGCTGAAGGGGGCACTACACGGCACCGATGCCCCTGCCCCCACCCCTCCAGCCCGCGGCAGGTCCCCCCCAGAAGGGCGATGACGAGGGAGGGGGCATCGGTACTTTTCGCTGTTCTCGGATCCTTTCTCCTCGCGCTCGCCCCCCCTTCCTCATGGTCCTTGCTCTCCTCCCCCTCCCCTCCTCGTCCTGCTCATCTCATCCCTCCTCCTCCGCCTCCTACTATTCCGCATTTTCCCAGGAAGGAGGAGGAAGAGGAGGAGGAGGAGGAGGAGGAGGAGGAGGATTCTGATTAGCATTCGGATTAGGATTACGATTCGGACTAGGACCAGGATAAGGATCAGGATTAGGATTAGGATTAGGAGGAGGAGGGAGGATGAGGAGGACGAGGAAACAGAGGATGAGGAGGAGGAGGAGGAGGAGGAGGAGGAGGAGGAGGAGGAGGAGGAGGAGGAGGAGGAGGAGGCAGCTCGAGGGGAGGAGCCCCCCCCCTCCTCTCCGCTCCCCTCTCCCCGCGGGGCTGCAGGGCGCGGCGGCGGCGCTGCCCCCCCCCCCCCCCCCTCCGCGGCTGCCCCCGAGAGGCCTCGCCTCGGCCGTCAGCTTCGACGCCGTGGCGTCCGCGCTGCTTCGGGTGCGCCCCCGCCCGGGGGGCGCCCGGAGCTAGTCGCCGTCGTCCCTTGAGGGTTTGGCGACCCTCCTCCTCCTCCTCCTCCTTCTCCTCCTCCTCCTCCTCCTCTCCTCCTCCTCCCCTCCTCCTCCTCCTCCTCCCTCCTCCTCCTCCTCCTCCTCCTCCTCCCCTCCTCCTCCTCCTCCTCTTCCTCCTCCTCCTCCTCCTCCTCCTCCTCCTCCTCCTCCTCCTCCTCCTCCATGTCACGCTCCTTCCCGTACGCCGACGTCGCGCTGGTTAGGGTGCGCCCCCGTACGCCGACGTCGCCGTCGTCCCTTGAGGGTTTGGCGACCGTTCTCCGATCGGCCTGGGCCAATTTCGATCCGATCGATTTGATGCCGATTCCAGCTGGCCCGGTCCGACTCGGTTCCGCTATTCCGACGATGCGCGGCGGCCCGATGCTCGGTGTTGCTGGGCATCTTGGCGCAGCCGATCCGATTCGACTCCGGTTCCGTCCCGATGCAGCCTGATCCGGTGCACATTTCGATTCGACCCGGTTTGTTGATCCGATGCAGACGGATCCTACATTTGCGCAGGTCGACGTACATCCAGAAAAGGGCGAAGCAGCTGCAGAGATAAATATCCGGATAGACTTGGAACTCACGGTGGAAGCTCCAGCGCGGGTCGAGGGGCAGCAGAAGCTGGTAAGCCTTGAAGGAGTAGTCGCTCGCTCCCTCCCCCTCTTTGCTCCTCCTCCTCCATTCTTTGCCTTATTTTTATTAATTTCTCCCTGTCGCACCCCGAGGCCAGTTTTTAGGGTGGGCCGGGCGTTTCGCCTGAGACTTCCTCACCATTTATGACCCTGAAGCTTAAACGAAATGACAACAGTTTCACAGATGGAGGGCGGGTGGTTTCCAAAATGTGGCTCTCGCCTCAGCGCCGTGCGCATTCGGTTTTAATATTTCCAAGAGTGTCACGGATTGAGGGCGGTGTCTTTTCAGCATGTGGCTCTCGCCTTAGCGCCGCGCATTTTCGTTTTGTTACATTTGCAAGAGCTTCACGCGTTAAGGTCGGATAGTTTTCAACATGTGGTTCTCGCCTTAGCGCCGCGCACATTTGTTTCAAAACTTTACCAGCGTTTTGTGGATTCCCATGATCAGCGTATCTGAAATCGTGTTTTCGAAGGGTTCAGGATTATGAGGGTGCAACAGTTACATGGATTCGCGGTGTTGAAGTCCCAGGAATGGCGCCAGGAATGGCGTTCTGGCACGGTTCAGGGTCGTCAAGGCGCAAGAGTCAGATTGTTCCGTGGCGTTGGAATCCCGAGAACAATGTTTTGGCATGCTTCAGGGATTTCAGACTGTTGTCTTCCAACGAGGCAGGTCCCTCAATGGAAATGAACCATCGTATGGGGCCTACGAAGAGGGAGCTTGGAGGGAGGGTTTATTCTAACGTCGTTGATGACTCTTGGTTTTACACTGGTCCTCCTCCTCCTCTTCCTTCTCCTCCTGGGGGCCTCCTGGGGCCCTCTCGGTCCGGTTTTGGGTCTTTTTGTCCCCCGAAATGTCACGCGGCAGCATTCTCCAAGCCCCGAGAGCGCCCAGCACTCACGGCTGTGGGCCTCTGAAAGAGTATTATGTGCCGAGGACTCTGAGGGACCTGGGAACACTTTATTCAGTGCCTGGCGGCATGGTGGCGGATTTGTGGAGCCTCTTTCACGCAACTTCCGGAGCCACCCACTCGGGGGGCTGAATTGTGAAACGCGCGAGGGAGGCAACCCGCCTCCTTGCGTACCTTTGAGGCTGGCAAGCTCAAATTCTTGACGCTTCGGCTGGCAAGTTTCCCGCCTCTGGGTCGGCACTTAATGAGGGTCATTTTGTCCCTGGCACGTGCGTCGCGGCGTTGGCCTATGTGCCTGCGTTGCCAATTGTCTCGCATTGCGCCCCTGTCGAGATTGACCCGCTCTCTGGAGTTGTCCTTTGAGCCGCAGATGAAAAAAAAAGTATTTTCACCAGCCGGCGAGACACCCCATGGACGGACTCCGACTGGAAAGGCGGGGGCAAACGGTATTCTCCACGAGGGGACGACCGCGAGTCCGAGAAACGGACCCGCTGGTGGGCCAAGGAAGACTCTAACACCCAAGTTTGACGTGCTCTCGACACGGCGTACCTCAGCGTACCAACGCCCAGGTACACGCAGCACAGAGAGGACCCATGGTCCCCCACCTCCAGCCACCCGTGGCCCTGAAGGGGCCTGTTTCACCTCGCTGCGCCCGGCCCTGGCCGTAATACCCGGGGCCACCCTCCGCTGGGGCGGAGGCGCTCCCCCCCATTTCACCCATGGCGCAGCTTAGCCAGACAGCCTTCGCTGGATAAGAGCACCACCACCCACCTTTTCGGGCCCGCCGCTGGGGCATCCCCCGCATGGGCCCGACATCTCACCCGCACTTGCCCTGCGGGGCCACGCCTGGTCACACCGGTGGCACCCCCAGGCACCTAGACTTTGCTGTCCGAAGACGACAGCCTGCCCCGTGGCACCCTAGGCCGGAGGCGGGCCCTAACACCCCCCTCCTGCCTGGATGCCGGCTCAGACCGACCCAGCTGGGTCTCAGTTTTGAGGCGCCACAGGCGCCAGATCATGCACACCAGCAGCGGTTAGCTGCGACCCTGGATGACCCCCCACACACCGTTCCCACTGATGAGACGGCCCGCGAGGTGGCGGCCCTGCCTTCAGCGTGTCAACCCACTGGCTGCAGGCCGCCCACCTTGGGCCACGAGTAGTGGACGGATAGCTTCACCGTTCGGTACTACCCTCCTCCCAGCGGCGGTTAGCTGCGACCCTGGATGCCACTCGGGGAATGGCGGCAGTGTCCCCCAGTCAGGCTGGGCTGCCGCCAGGCTGGTCCCTGGGTTTCGGAGCCGAACGTCCCCACACCCTGGGCTGCATGGACCCCTGCTGGTTACGGTAACTGCACTTCACCTCAGCGGCGGTTAGCTGCGACCCTGGACGCCAGCTGGGAATGACGGCTTCGACCGAGACCATGGCCCCCCTCGGGGTTTCTCGGATACGGCAGGTAAGGCAGTCCCACTGTTGACTTCAGGGCAACTGCCGTGCAGCTCCACCACGGTCTCCCCTCGGGTCTCCCCCAAGGCTCAGCCGCCGCCAGGCTAGTAGCCCGGTCTCGGAGACGGACGCCCCCACACCCCAGGGCTGCCCAGGACCCCCGCTGATAGCGGTATTTTTTGCCTCACCTTCAGCGGCGGTTAGCTGCGACCCTGGACGCCCGCGAGGTTGACGGATTCGACGCCCACACCCCAGTGCTGCCCAAGTCCCCCGCTGACGCGGTAACGTTACCTCACCTTCAGCGGCGGTTAGCTGCGACCCTGGTCGCCCGCGTGGATGACGGATTCGACGGAGACCCTGTACTTCTGCGGGGAATGTCGGATTCGACGGATAAGGCAGTCCCACGGTGGCCTTCGGCGTTCATCTGGCGGCAGCTGCCATGCAGTTCCACCCTGGGCTCCACACCTTGCTGGCGATGTTCCTTCCCGCCAGCTTGGCCTCACGCAGCGCCTCAGCCGGCGCCCGCGCAGCTGTGCTTGGATGGCCCCTACAGTTTCGGTGGCTCCTCATGTTGCGCGGGATGACGGCCCCTGGAGGTCAGCCCGCTTCGAGTGGTTCAGCCTTCGCAGCCGTGGCCGCCCCCCGGGCCGGTCACACCCCATGCCTGGTATTCGACGTTCCTCGGCGGAGCAGCTCAGCTGGCTCGCACACGCCGTTGGCGCGGCCTGGGCTCGGCGCCCCACTGGCGACGGCCCATCGCTTACCACGTCTGGGCACTCAGACGAGGTTGGACATGCTGCCCACAGCTATCGTCCTCACGCTCCGCTTGGGTTCTGCCACTCGGCACTTCTTGATTTCACCGGCATTTTGCCGTGTTGCAAGTGCTCGAGCACCCTGGACGCCCTCAGCTGGCCGCTCCCTCCGCGCAGTCAGCCGCTGCTGGATGAGTGGGCCGGCCTGCTCGCGGCGCGTTTAGCTGCCAATTAGGCCGCTGTCGTGACCCGTAGCGCTTCTGACTCCGCTTGCGCCTTCGCTAGCGGACGCGACCAAAAAACAAGTATTTTCACCAGCCTATCCAGCAACGATACCCGAGCGAGATGCAGTTGTCAAGCCAGTGTAGGAGCATGCAGTGAAAGACGGAGAGGGCAGCGGTGAAACCAACGTTTCGGATAAGCCTGCGCAGACCCCGGATTTAGCCACGCACATACATATACATATACATATACATATACATAAACATGTACATACACATGTACATATACACATACATATACATATACATGTACACATACATATACATATATATATATATCTATATATATATATATATAAGTGTGAGGGGGCCGAACGGTCATTCATTATTGTCTTTGGGTGCGTGGCTCTTGGGATCCGTGGTGAGGATTCTGCTTGTTGCGTTGTCGTTGTTGCTGCTGTTTTGTTGTTTGTTGTTTTTGTTGGTGTTGTTGCTGCTGAAATTTCATGTCTGAAGAATAATTATTGTTGATCCCCCCGTCCGGTGCAAATTGTTTAGTCGATTGAAGTGCCTTTCCCGGGGCACGCACCCAGTTTTTTAACAGGGAAAGTCTTGAGGGTCAAACTGTGTCGCTGGCCCCCGGTTTACAACAACAGCGGCTCCCGCTTGATACTTCCTCACAATTTATTGAAGAATCGCGCTCTCGCTTGGGAGTTCCTTGCAATTTACCACTGGATCGCGGCTCCCGCGTGATATGTTTCTTTAGTACAATTTATTGAAGAATCGCGCTCTCGCTTGGGACTTCTTCGCAACTTACCACCGAGTCGCCGCTCCCGTTGGATATTTTTCAACAATTTATTCAGATGCCGCTCCTCGACACTCAGGAATCGCGCTCCCGCTACATATTGCCTGGCGGTTCAAGCAGAATTTACGTTTCAACGACCCGCCCGGTCGACCCGCCCGTCTGGGCCTGCCCGCCCGACCAGCC